CTCCAAACCCACGCTCTTCCCGTGATCCCAAGGGGCAGCTCTGGACTAGCTCTGCTTGGCCTCCGCAAAGAGAATGAAGTTTTTGCCTGGAAGCAAGCTGCACATTTGGTACTGGGTTTGTCAAAGTAGGTGGTTCGTGCCTAGTTACTAGTTATGAGGTCTTGTGTGACGCCCTCTTGGTCTTCCTTCCACCCGTGAACTAGGAAAATAAGCCTGTCCCCGCCCATCTTCCAGATTTGTTCCACCGGATAATGAAACTTCCACGGCAGGGTGGGAGGACACCGTGCTCACCTCCTCCCACGGCCACATCAAAATTACAGCTAAATTACACAACAGCCAACCTGGGTAACCATAGAAAGACTAGCTGAACACAAGCCCTCTAACTAAGAATATAAAGAAGCCACATCGACTCTGATGGGAAGGGAGGAGACACAAAATGGGCTGGAGGGATAGCTGCCATTGACCCTGTGTTGAGCTGCACGCCCCCCCCCAATGTGGTTTACAGGCACCATCTTTCCTATGTTGAGCCCTCCCCCCACAGCCCAATCTTAATCTACATTAGCCTGGTGAACTCCACTAGCTCCACCCTGTTGAATCTGTGAGACTCTGCCCAACCCAAATGGTCTGTCTACAGGTCCCAGGCAGGTGGTAGATGGGTGATAACCCCCGGGACATCAATGGATAGATTTTCCAGACAGAAAATCAACAAGGAAACAGCTACCTTAAATGACACAGTAGACCAGATAGATTTAATTGGTATTTTTAGAGCACTTCACCCCAAAGCAGCAGAACAGACATTCTTTTCAAGTGCACATGGAACACTTTCCAGGACAGACCCCATGTTAGGCCACAAAACAAGACTCAGTAAATTTAAGAAGATTGAAATTATATCAAGCATCTTATCCAATCACAATGATATAAAACTAGAAATCAATTCCAAGAAAAAAACTGAAAAACACACAAACACATGGAGGCTAAATAACATTAATACTAAACAATGAATGGGTTAACAATGAGATCAATGACAAAAGTCAAAAGATACCTTAAGACAAATGAAAATGAAAACATAACAACCCAAAATCTATGGGTGTTCATATGAAAAGATTTACTAACTAGAGATTAGAAGGAATTCTCTTCCAGGGGGAAGGTAAAGGTTGGGAGTCAACCTGGAAAACAAACGAGGCTTTAGCAAGGTGGGCCAGGCAGCAAATGATGCTGGATAATGCTACAGACCGGTAAGGCTTCTAGAAAAGAGCTTGTATGTACCCTGACCCAATAGTGATAGGGGCACTTATAATTTCCAAAGATTAAGCACCTGAATTAATATGAAATATAGTTATAATACTTATAAAATTGTAGAACACATATACTTATGTGAACAGGGATTTAAGTGGGGTTTTTTTCCTTAGGCTTCTTTCTCCTAGACCTTTACACCCTGCACTCCCCTTAATCCTGGACTAAAGCAATTAAGGGGGTGGCTGCAGCTGTGAACAATGGGTTATGATGTAAGACATCGCCAGGTGACCAAGATCAAGAGAATCGCTTCCAGGACTGCATGTAGCTGCATTCCGTTCCCAGCCTGAGTCTGCCCCATATAACCCTATCCCTCAGGCCACTCCTTAAGACAGGTTTTGAATGCTCCTATGCTCCCTGTCTTCTTGGTTGGCCAGCCTTCTCAATAAATGCCTTATATGATTCAACCCTGCCTCCATTAAGAATAGGGCCTCCACATTTTAATATAGATGGAGATCAAAATGGCCAGGGGCAATGGCCCTCCATCCAGGCTGCTGAGGCTCAAAGGCAAACCTATGGGAACCTTATGGCCCTCCAAACTTACAAAAGCTCTCTAATTTACATCAATATACCAGGTCTATCCTCAGCTCCAGAACAGGTGGAAATAAGACCTATGGTTAGTAGGGATAGGAACTGTTCTGAATACCACTCATGTCCACAGGAGGGAAGTGGTCCCTGCTACATAACAATACATAACAGAAACAATACACAATACAAAGCCAGTCAGCTTATAGGTAATGGATACTATGGGATAAAAGGCACAAAAGCAAAAAAGCAAGGGCCTATAGGGTAAGGGGTGGGGGCATGGGTTGGCTAGAGGACAGGAGCTGTATGGATGCATCATGAGAGATAAAGCTGAAAATGTGAGTTAAGACCAAACTAGTTCAGGGTAACATACGGGTAACATTTGCCTTCTTTCAGAGAGGCAATATAGAAGCCTATTTATGACACAGGTCTGGAGCAAGACAGCTGAGTTCTGACCCCAGTTCAAATCTTGAACAATCAATCTTTCCATAGATTCGTTTCCATACAGGTAAAAAAAATTATAATCATAGCACCTTAATTAGGGTTGATGTGAGGATTAAGGACGTCAGTACCTGCAAAGGCTTAAACAGTGCTTGGAACATAAGAAAGCATGAAACTTATTACAATAGTTACTATTAATTCTGCAATCAACAATGCCACTGAAATGGGAGTGATAAGATCACGGCCTCTGAGGTGGTTGAGTGGGCTGTAATGTGTTGGATGCAAGGCTGGGAAACTAGTTAACAGGTCACTGCAATTCTAGGTGACAGGTGCCATGCAAAGTGGCAAACATATAGGAAAGAAAAGGGAAGGGAAATGGGCCATAGGTCAGATATGTCTGAGCAATCGAATGGACAAAACTTGGCAAATGCCTGGATGTGGCTGGTATGGAAAAAATGGAATAATCAGAGAGAAGATAAATGGATTTTGTCTGAAAACATGTCCGTTTTTGTACCAAGGTAACTTGCAATTACACTAGGAAATTAATTCTATCTGCTCTAGGCCGTGAACTTGCTCACCTTGCTATACCCAAAGGTATATATAGCGAGACATCCAGAGCTCCTCCCTGCTCTGACACTATAATACTCTGGTCCTCTGCCAAGAAACCTCTATTTCATTTACCTTGCCTAAGGCTGATTTTAACCTACTTGCCAAGAACTGCTATTAGACAGAGCAACTGATGACAGGGCTCAGGTGCAATACGAGCCTTCCACCTGGATGGCTACCTGACTCCAAAGGCCTGCAGGAAAGCCTGGAGACTTGCTTAATAACCAACTCCATTCGCCCAAGGCCTTCAGTGAATCTTTTCCTCTGAAGCTTTAAACTCAAGTTATTAACTGCAACTTACAAGGAAAGGGGAAGCAGCCAAAAGAAGCAAGTCACTAAAATGGCCTGAGATGATAACAGGCCCGTCCTCAGCGACGCTCCTCTCTCCACACACCAGCCCCCCTGCACATCCAGTCTCTGAAAAGACCAGTCTCTTTTCCACCTATATCCAAACCCCAGAACATTCCTCATATGCACACACCCCGGAGGTGCATGAGGCTAAGAATCTGCAGACCCAAGTTTTAACTGGACAGTGAACTTCTGACAAACCACACCCCCGTGGGGCCTGGGGCTTCACGCTGAATTCTGCTGACCTCCCCACTCCCTGCACAGGACAAAGTCAGCTGCAGGCACAGCCCCCCCTTCCTCAACCCCCCAACCCCGCTCGCCCGTCCCAGCTCCAGAGGACCCGGCAGGTCCTGACTTCCGTGGCTGCAGCCCCTCGGTCCCCGCGGGGAGGCTGGCCCCGGAGCGCTGAGCCCCGCAGGCCGGCCGGCCGCTACCTGGTCCAGCAGCCGGTAGATGCTGATGCCCAAGGTCTCCAGCAGCAGCTGCCACTCGGCCGCGGCCAGCGCGGGCTGCAGGAGCTCTGCACAGGCCTCGCGGAACTGCTCCTGCGAGAAGCCGCCGGCCATGGCAGGGTCCGTCCTTCCGCAGCCCGGCGCCTC